AGCTTGCAAGTTTGTGCATTAAGCCATTTAAATGTATATTACGCTTTTCAATGCAATCCTGAAACATAATTGATACTGAATATACATCTCCTATCTTCATCAAAAGTTGCACTACCAAATACGAAGACATGAAGATGGAGAAAGTATAGTTTTTCTGCTGGGCTCCTACAAATGCCACAGTTAGAGCTTTGGTTTCTCTAAATCTCCATTTAATGAGTGAACTCAATTTATGAGAGAACCCCATTAACTACATTCCTTCTACTTATAGCTCAAAGAATCAGAGATGAACAACCAAATTTCAAGGTAAGGTGTTCTACATACACCAATGCACTGTTTGCATCCAATTCTTTAAAATCCTCAGTTTTGTTGAGCACCAGAGACTGAAGGTATAAGACAGCTTATGTATGTATATATTTCACACTGCTCCATAAGGAAATCCCAGTCATTACAGACTCCCATCAATTATACAAAAATAAGGTTTTGTTGTAAATTATGTTGGCATTCTATTCTTCGCAGTATGAAACAGCAAAAAAAGCCTTTCACTTTAGAAGAAAACTGAAAAAAATCTTGAAGATGGGGAGGAGAATAACATTTAAAGAAGTACAAATAGATTTCTATGCCAACTCATTTTGACTCTTTTGTTCCACCTCACTATTTTTTTTAAAAAAGTCAACTCAGCTATCAACGTTAAAACATGAAGAAGATTGCCAAGATACAGAACAATATGAAATGCAGCTGTTCATTTTTCCCTCCACATCTTCTAAACTAGCAAACCACTATTTCTTATAAAACAGAAGATACACCTAAAATCTGGTGAGAGTGTTAAGTCGAGGAACTATACCCAACAAAAGAACAATGTCCTCAAAATTATTCTGCTTCCAGATCATCTGCTGCATTGCTGAAGCAATTCTGGAGGTGTGATAGGGAAGAAACAGTACTGTGGTGTGCCAGAGCTTGATGATTGGCCATATTCATAAGACAACATTTAATAGTTCTTTTGTGCCACTACTCCTTTTTGGTCTTTTCACTCCAGTATTTATTGTAGGCTTCTTGAAACATATCCTTGCATGGAATTTTGGCCTTCAGCTTGGAGCATATGAGAAAAGAGCCACCCATTTTCCGATGAAGAGAATAGGTCTCTTCTGGTGGAGGGACCAACCTGTGCTTCAGCATGATTGGGATTAATCTATGTATCTTCTCAGTGGTAGTTTGAGAGCCAAAATCAAAAGGTTCACTGGATGCAAAAGCTTCTCCAAGAATGAGGACAGCATCCAAGTGGGCATCTTCCATAGCCTGATTAAAAATAAAGCAGAAAGTGATTGTGATCAACTGCTTCAAGCAGGCCTACTGAGAAGAAAATGAAAGAATCAATCATCACCAACATAAACCAGACAAGAAAGGTCTGAAAAAAAGAAGCAGTAGTCAAAATACAGCTCTGGAATAATAGCCCACAAACAGCTATACTTGGCTTAATATACAAAAGAAGGCAGAGATGGCTCTGCCTTCTTAGCACAGATAAGACAGTTGTGGCTGGCAATACAATGCAGAATAATAAATACTTCATTACATGTCTTAAAGCAGGCAGACACCCAACATGCTTATACCCCAATCTAGATAAGATTTGAATAGCCAGGATAGCATATAATTTCCAATCCAATCCTACATATTTTTATTCATATTCAACATCTACTATTTATTTGATCAACACAGTATCACCATATCAATTTGAAGCAAACTTACAACTTAGCACAGAGACTATGAAAAGTTATAACTACATCTTTCTCAATACGATGTCAATACAAAGACCTCATATTAAGGGGGGCAGCAAGGAGAAAGTTCCTAGTTTATAAACCAGTCCCTCATCCATTTATTTATAAAGGTATTCAGCTGAAATCCTTTCCCTATTATATAAAATGGGAGATTGCTGCCTGTTGCTAAATTTTGAGTTACAGTTAGCTCCTGCTTCTCTAAGTGCTTTAATGGCCTAACACAGGTTGAGCTTTTCTATTTTATATTGTCCCCTATAAAAAGGCTCAAGACAAATCTGAAAAAGTATCACTTGAAAATAAAGAGTCTTTCAAGATCACCACAATATTTTATTACTTTTTATTTGTATGCAAGTAGATGAAACCAGTACTGAAACCAAAGGCATACCCAGTTCTTCCCACAATCCTCACAAGGATGCAGCTATTTCCTCAATACCTTCCTGTGTTCAATCATGACAGCTCCAATCATACCTCACACTTCTTTCTGCAAAGCTAGAAAATCGAAGTCCATATTCCAGTACAGACATTCCAATTTCTGCAACAAAGCTCCAGCTAACAATGAATTTGTCTTAAAGGCACCATATGACGGCCAGGAAATTGAATGGAACTCACCACTACAGGTTCACTCCTCTTTCAAACTACTGTGCTTCACAGGACAAGCCTGCAAAACACTCCCATGCCTTCCCTGGTCCAAGACCTTATCAGCAAGAGAACTCTCCAAAGCCTATATTTTTAAAGGGTTTCAGTAAGGAATGGTGGTCAATCTATTATGATTCAGCCTATGTAGATTGCAAATCAACATCCTATCTCTATTTATTTGTCCTGTGGTAGATCTCAGCTAAAATACAAGGTTTTTGAATGACAAACTAAATACAAGGTCTTTGCATGACAAACTAAACTAGAGGAGAGAAAGAGGGTGAATATAGTTCAGCAGTTATGGTGGTTTTCAGGTTTTGGAATGATGCATTCTCTTATTGTTGCCTCAGAATTTTGCTTGCTTGTGAGCAAGAAACCAGTTGCCCCAGCTTAGCCCAGCTAATGCTTCCTAATTAGTTTTAGCTATTTGTGTGAAGGGAAAAGAAAAGCAGATGCAAGTGGGCTATGTGTTGCTCATCCCAGTTTGCAACTCAATCACACATTAAAACAAAAAACCTTGGCAACCTGGCTTATTAGATGGCAATGCAACAACTGAGAAGCAATGCAGATATTCTTTTTTTGAGGAGGGATATTTATTGCATTCTCTTCAGTTGAGAGTCAGAAAATCAAACTCAACTCATAGCAGTAACGAAGGAGGGACTGTTTGGGTCTGCTACATACCTTGTTTTCATAGCCAGTTAAAAATTTCATTTCTATTGACTTCTTCAGCACTCTCTCTCTGTCCATGTCAGCAGCTGCTTTGATTAACTGTAAGAGGCAAGAAGACAAAAACAAGGCATGAAATAAGAAGCAATCTAATTAGGTACTTTCTGCAGCCAAGAACAGCGTTTACTTCACAAGGAGGCAAGTCACCCTTGTAATAAATATCTTAGCAATTCCTAAATGGTATCAGCTTTGTAAAAGCAAGAACTTCTGTCTCCCAAAACATGCAAGGCAGAAATATGAACCAAATTTGAGGAGAAATATCTGAATATTTCTCCTGAGTGGTCTGTACCCAGAAACTAGAGTAAGTTTCCCAGAAGAAACACCAAAGACCTACAGAAATACTGCAATTTTTATTACAGAAGCCTACATTAGCATCTGGATCCTGTACAACAAATACCAAACAATTGTTCATATTTAGCTAATCATCAGAATAGCCCATCTTCCCTCTATGGTATTTAGTTATAATATAATGTATATATTACAACCAAATTACCATAGAGGGAAGATGGGCTATCCTGATGATTAGCTAAATATGAACAATTGTTTGTTATTACCAACATTATCCATCTGGGGTAGGTAACAACATATGGATAGGGAGAAAAAGAGGACATTCTTCCTCAGAACAAAAGCCTGGACTTACCTATCAAACTATTTTTGGTTCTCTTTTGGGAGGCAAAGGCAAAAATAGTAAAGTTATGTTGCACAGAGATGTTAAAATACTCTGGGCATAAAGATATACAGGTAGTCCTTGAGTTATGACAATTCGTTCAGCGACTGTTCAAAGATACGATGGCACTGAACAAACAGTATTTACGACTGGTCCTTGGAGTTCTGGACGTCGCAACATCCCTGCGGTCATGTGATTGCGATCCGAGCACTTGGCACCTAGCTCACAATTACATGTCACAGTGAGCCATAGTCACATGATCGCAATTTTCAACATTCACTGCCGGATTCTCACAAGCAAAGTCGGTGGGGAAGCTGTCAGGAAGTTGGAAGCTGCGATCACATGAGGTTCTCACTTAACAATGACAATCAGGACTGCTGGAACTGCCGTCGCTAAGCAATGTGGTCACATGACATGCTTTACAACCATGTTGCTTAGCGATGGCAATTCCAGTCTCAACTGCCATTGTAACCTGAGGACTAGCTGTAAATTTAATAAAAAAATGTAAAACTCATTAAAAGTATGTAGCAAAAAGCTGCTTCCTTCAAGCTGTTAGCTTGATTTTTGGCTCGACAACTTAAAGAATCATCCACTTGTCACAAACCCCCAACAGGCACTGCAGCAACATTAGAGCTCTTACCTCTATGTACATATCTGTGAATTTCTCATCAAAGCCACGTGTTGCTCCAAAATCCAGAAGAGCCACCTGGAAAAAGAGATGTGTAAAAATTTCTGAATGGCAGAACTATTCCACAAGATTCACCTCTAACTGGAAGGACTAGAAGCATATTGTTCTAGTTTCTCAGAAGCTACATTTTCCATCTAGTTTTCATTGGAATGGCTGAAAATCTAAAAAGGACACTATTACACTGCACTACAAAACAGCATATCTGACAGTAAGTATATTACTGGATAAATACAGCAATAAAACATTTTGATAGCAGCTGAAGAGATATATAGTACAAAATAGGCCATTTCATCTGGTAGATGAAATAAATCCATACTTTAAAGCAGTATTTTAACACTGGATAAAGGCCAGGCTCTGTTAATACACCTCTTGTCCCTGCAGTGGAAAGCTATGGTTTTGCCACTTCAGACAAAGGTATTCCCTGATGATACTATCAAAAGACCCTTACCCTAAGATGTCGGAGAAGACATTTCTACAGCACTCCTCCCAAAAGGTACCTGGTGGCTTTTTTTGCCTTTGTTCTTCAGCTGATCTATACCTTACAGCACTTAGGCTAGAGGCCAGGCTGATTAGCACTGAAACAAGAGTGTGGCAACTAATCCTATCTACTGGCTTAGAATCTATCTATGTCCCCCTGGGCTTCTGCCTCTCCTGGCATGCAGTAACTTTAAAATCTAGATGGCATATAGCAGCAACCAACACACAGTTTCACCTTGGCATAGCCCCTGACTCCCTTCTAAACGTGGGTTACAACACCACTATGGAGTTTATTTAAACGAAGACAAGACGACACTGAACTTCAGCATAATTTGTCTTGTTGGTGACTCAAGGGAATCACAGCCTACATGTTATTTAAGTTATCCTATACCCTTACCAACAGGCTTTTTCCAGAGCACATTTTAATGCCCTCCCTTCTGCAATTATGGATGGCAGATACCAAGAAATCCTTGCAGCACTTAGGTGGACTTAAAGGCAGATATAAAGGAATCCCTTGTGTCTCTGGTGAGCTTGAAACCCTAGAACATGTTTTTCTAAAATGTACGTTCTGTGCAGAACTGCACTCCCAGCTAAGTCATCCTCTGATGGAAAGACTGCCGAGCCATCCCAATATTACCTAGAGATTTTCTTAAATGATAGGTGTCCTGAAATCACATTTTTAATTGCCAAGTTTTGTACCTTAGCCATAAGGCCGCAGCATATTCAGACTTATTAATAGAATTCTATCATATATTAAACTGTTACAATGCTGTTCTGTCTTTGGACTAAACAAGAGTTGTTTCAAGTTATATTGTATAAGATCTTGAATCATAATAAAAATGTTCTATTCTCTTCTGTTCACCTTAAGAAAGCATAAGGAAGCCAGAGAATATCATTAAAATACCACTGTTCAACTTCTATACTCCAGAGAAAAAGTCTCTGAAGCTTTTTCCCCAGGTCCTTTTATAGGTTCCTCAATTAGTATATTTTGGCATAAAATTAACATGTGGCTATCCATCTTTTCCTGAAGTATATACATGTTGGAGGGTATAAAACTTATTCTGAAACGCAGACCCTATGGATGACAAAGCAACAGAGACTGTCTGGTCTGACCAGTGCTCCATAAGAACCAAAAATGGCCAGAATGATGACTCAGAATCCTCTGCAATACTAATGGAGCCTACCCAAAACAAAACTGATACAAACTTTAGAAGGTGTCCACTGTCCTACTGTAAAGCTACTTGAACCCACTGCAAAGAGGCAAAACGCAAATAAATGTGTGTGTTTCAACTTTCAGAGAGATTTACCTTGTGCAACTCTGGGTCGTAGAAAAAGTTAGACCAGTTTGGATCAGTCTGCATGTACCTGAACTCAAACAGCTCCCGCAGGCACAAAACTAATATGTTGTGGCAGATCTGCAAATATACCCACAAAATGGATACAAACAAACAAATGAACAAATCAGTATATACTAGGAGTAAACAAACCACCCAAGATCAAATTCAAGATTTGAAGGTGCCACAATTAGATTCCAATATGATTCAAGATTCAAAAGCAATTTCATTTGATAAAGATATGACTACAGTTTATAATGGAGTACTATCCAAAAACCTGTAGCAGCTTCATTAGCAGTAATGGTAGGCCCTTAAAGGACATTAATCATGCAAAATTACAGTTCAATAACTAAGGGTTTCACAATAGTAAATATGTCAAGTATTCCCTCTGTGCCTCTTTTAAGGCAGAGCTTGCATGAATGAGGAAAGAACAGCACTGCTGCTTTACAACTGTCAAACAGTTGTAGAGAACTTGCACCCCTCTACAGCTTGAAAATTAAAATGTTCAGAAGCTTTTTTTCAAAAGGAAGCTCTTACTAAAGATCAAAGAGTCTACTCCTGCTGCTCATTAAAATACATGAGAATACGAGATTAAAGGTCAGGTACAGTAATCAAGGACATGTCACAAAAGAAATATCCATAAGGAGGAGAGTCAGACAGGGATGTGTACTGGCCCCACTTTTATTCAACTGCTATATAAACTCACTGATTCTTCATCTAAGTAGCTCTACTTTTCATCCTCCTAAATTAGCCCAAAGACATGTCAATGTATTACTGTATGCAGATGATGTAGTAATTCTGTCATTAACTTCTATTGGCCTCAAAAGTGTTTGAGATCACTTACACATACTGTATTGAGGAGGAACTAATAATAAATTACACCAAGACTAAGATACTTTTTCCAAATGCCTGAAACAGAGAAGCTAGAACTTAGGTAGGCAGTCCATTGAGCAGGTTAAGATATTTCAATATCTAGGGATAGTTTTTCAAGCTTCGGGAAGCAGAAATGCCCACCTGGACTATGTATCTTGTAATGCAGAGATCTGCATCAGCTATCCAAACTTATTATTTTTCCAGAGGAGCACAATTTATCCCTGCTGCAATTAAGTTGTTTGCAGCTAAAGCATGAGCACAACTGCTGTACAGGGCTCAATTGGGACCATATAACAGCATTGTTACCTTAGAAAGAATACAGACAAAATTTCTAAGAAACATCTTCCAGGTTACCCGCTATGTTCCAAATGCTGTACTTCGATGGGAAGCAGGAGTCAGTAAACTTGAATCTAATCTCTGGATAAATATCTTTACCTACTGGCTAAAATTACATCATAACCCCAGTGGACTGACTCATCTAACATTGGTAGATAATCCTCTTGGGAAATAGCTACTCAAAAGAAACTGAGTCTCTATGGTTTCTCCAGTGATACCATCTTAACCTTAGAGTCAGATCAAGTTAAACCAATGTTAAGGCAAAGGAACTTAGATATAAAAGGCTAAACAGATTCTCATAATATAATTGCTAATAACCAAATCTTAGCACCTAAACTAGCTTCATATTTATATTGTATTACAGTCCCTAAACTCAAGCCCAATTTAATGTCTTCCCCACTGATGTTTTGGAAGGGAAATATAGGAAAACCCTATATGAAACCCAATATTGCCCCTGTGACACAGGTGCCATAGAAACCGCAGCCCATGTTCTTTTGCACTGCCAGTTCTACAGGGACATTCACCACCAGCTGATTACCCCCTTTTTATTTAAATTTCCAGGGCACTTTGATAATTTTTATTTGCATTATCTGTTAAACAACCAAGGTAAATTTATTTCTCTAAAAGTAGCAAAATTCTGCTACATTATGTATAAGCTTCGCCCGCAAATGGTTGCCAACAGTTATTGATGTTAGGGGATAATTTTGCTTGCTTTGTTTTATAAAATGTATTTTTATTGGTAAATGGCCAAAATAAAGTCTCTGTAACTGCTTACTTTTCTAGGCTGGCAACCTTATTGGCATGGTTCATTAGCAAAGATGTTCTGAGAATGGAACTTATTTTTAATTTTTTTTTTAAAAGTGTGGTATCGCTACTGCATATATACTATGATACAAGGAAATAGTCCATATTATACATACTTAGTTGTCTAACAAGCACACTGTCTCAGACACACTCATACTATGATGAAGACACACTCACTCTGCTTGAAAAAGACATGGACAAGTAGCAGAAAGGAAACATGAACATAAAGAAGATATTTTGTTTACATGGGAGGGGGTAAATAGAAAGAATGAAAGGGCATGAAAAGGGGGCTAAAAGAACTAACAGAAGACCAAAGGAGCTGCAAATGGACAAAGAAACAAAGGCTACCACAGATTATACTATAGGCTAAACAGACTGAAGTTAAGGAAAGGTAAAATTTAGAAAAAGCAATGTATTTCAATTCTGAGGCCATCTAAAATAGAAGTCCAAGCACGCTTGAAAATCTGTTGCTTAACTATCTTCTAGCAAATAACCAGTGTGTTTTATCACTACAATGGGGTAGAACTGTGTTCATCTGACACTGTTCCAGTAGCACTGCATGCTTACATTTATTCAGGCAGTAGCAGCAGCCTGCACTGATATTCTTACATGATTACTAATACTGGTGCAAGTATGCATCTACAGTCATTGGTCAAAAAAGGCTAAACTGTCACTAAGGACAGCTAGAATTAAAACTTATGATTTTAACTCAATATTAATATAGACTAGTATACATGAAAAAAGGTTCCAGGTATTACAGATACAAGACATATCTTCACCAGATTACTAGTCTAGAACACACAGTTCACTAGACTGACAGCTGTTACATGCTTTATAGTTTCATATATACTGTGTTAAAACCCCAGGGCAACTCTGTCTGCCAATATGGGAGCAGCTAGAATTGTCAGTCCTAATGTTAACTCTCTAATCCTTACCATACTCAGTTCCAATTCCCCTTTTGTCCATGCTTCAACTCTCCTCTGTCTCTTGTTTACTGACAGTACTTTTCCATCAGCCTTGGACAGCTAGAACTGCCCCTAACTTGGAAACCTATATTTGGGTGCTTATGCAATAAGAAGATGATGCATTTCTCATTCCTTGGCCAAGGAAACAGAAGGTGAACTTTTCTGGAAAGCTTGTCATCCTACTCACAAGGTCACAAAGCTGGTTGACAAGAATAGAGATGCAAAAAAAAGACTGTTCAGCAGCAGAGAATTATCTGCCCGGAAAACTATTTGCCCTGTATTCAGAATTATCTTTGAGGTTTTAAGCATTTCCAACAGCTAGAGAAGAGATCTCTTAAAAACTTCCAAAATATGCACATTCATCCTGATTAACGAATAAAATTCAAAAGATAATAGCCTTCAGTTTGCAGATAATCTGCCAGGTGAAGTTCAGTGTGTTTCACTTTGAAATGCAGAGCATGCAAAATCTTGAAGTACCCTAGGAAAAACTTTTCACTGGAGACGCAAGTTGAAAGAGCAAAAATCAACAGTTACAAGAAAGTCTTCTGTATCTTTTTTACCTACAAACTGTTCCAAGTAAAGAACTAATCTGGTTCTGTAACATCATTCCCAATGAAACAAAAGATTCCCAACCACATATTTTGTTTATAACCCTTACCAGAGCTCTAACCTATAGAGTTCACAGGAGCCTCTTACAAAACATCTGAGAAAGAAGTAAGACTGTGGCCATTTATAGGTCTTCTTTTGTCATCACTAAGATGAAAAAGTACCTCATTCCGAATGTCCTGGCTTAGATCTTCAGCCTGATCCAGTGGAAACCCCGACACAAGTTCTGTTGTAAGGACACGCTGACCACACAGTTCATCCACCACAGCGGGGACGTAAAAGAAGGGATGGTCTTTGAGCAGCTCCCTGAATGGCAGCAAACAAATTGATGAAAGTGTCTAAGGGTTCTTAAAACTTCTGCAAAATCTGACCAGCAAATATTAAATTGTATTGCCCAAGACAGTCACTCTGTTTTTCAGCCTCTTCTTTTAGTTTCAGAGACTTCCTGCTCCCCTAATTTATATTAGGTTAAAATTAGATTTGCCATTTGCAGCATAAATGCTATCTTACTGTTGTTTTTTTTATCCGCACTCAATCGTTACCGATTCTGCGGTGACTGCCTGGACGAGTCCCTGCAGTTTTCAAGACAAGGTGTTTCAGAGGTGGTTTGCCATGGCCTCCTTCCTAAAGCAGAGCCCAGCTGGCGAGCGCAGGAGGCGGGGTTTCCGTTGCTTTGCGCCTTTTTCGGGCGTGCGCGGCTTCCGCGTTG